GGATGGGGCTGTCTCCGGCGGGGGCTCGCCATGGCCAGGGAGGACTCGGTGAAGTGCCTGCGCTGCCTGCTCTACGCCCTCAACCTCCTCTTCTGGGTGAGTCCGGCGGAGCGCGGCCCCCTGCCCGAGCAGGTGGCAACCTCCCGGCTCGGGTTACGGCCCCTGCCCCGAGATAATGCACCCAAGGGTACAGCTAAGCGTTAGCTGGTGCTTCCTACGTTTGCTGAAGGAGAAGTTGCCCGCCGTGGTGCCTTTGATGTGCACCAGACAGTTCTCATCATGGAATAAGGATCATGTTTAAAAAAAAAAAAAACCCTTTGGAAAATAGTTGCAAGTATAATTAGATTTGATATTAACCAAGTGTTATAAATACATCTTTGAACTTGTGCACCTGTAACGCACACAGATATGTAGGGAGGGAATTTTTCAAGGGTGTTGCAGCCTCTTCATTTAATGAGTTTGAAAGTATCCCGTAACCTGAACTGAACTCTGAGCTCTCACAGGTATCTGAGTATTAGTTACTCTGTAAAGGCCTTATCCAAAGTCTTTCTGGTGCCTTTTAGTGACCACATCCTAACTGGCTCTGATGAGGCTTGGGGTGATTTCAGTCAAGACTGTATTTATGGCAGCAGGGTTTCAAGCTCTGCAGTAGAAGTGGGTGTGATCACCACTGCCTCCTAAACTTTCACTGCTCCAAGCCCATGGAGGTTCCTCACAGCCCTCAGTTGCTTGCACCAGATGAAATCTGCTTTGCCCATATAATTGAGTTTTTTTGTTGGATAAACATAGGAGAAGGGATGGGTAGCAGGCATACCATGCCATCCCCTTTCACAACTGCTGACTTGTGAGGTGCTGTAGACTTGCTGGGTGTGATGTGTGGAGCCCGCATGGGCTGGGGCCAAGAATAATTTGCAATGGGATTAAGGTGAAATCGCATGAATACTGAAAACCTTGTGGAGATCTTCAGATTTTCCTTTTTTTTTTTCTTAAAATAAGAAAATAAAACTGTTAAGCAGCCCTTGGTGCAGAACAGTACTTTCTGTATAATGCAAGTGATTTCAGATCTGGGAGAGATTATGTTGAAAGTAGGTAACTTTATATGTTATATTTAGTAGAGATGTAAAATATCTCCAGTGTTATATTTCTGCAGTGTTTTGTTAGCTGTTCAGTAAGGAATAAAGCCCTGCAACAGCTGATGGGAAAATCTTCTGTTTTTTAAAACATGCAATTATTTCTCGCATCATATGTGGATTTCACTGGATATTATCCAAAATCTAAAGGGCTGTATTTTCTTTTGATTAAGATGAAGTTTACCAGGGTTCAACTGATCTGGGCCCAATTTCTGACTTTTGCTCGTGCTCCGTTATAATTGTGTGCATGGATATCCACATAGGTGAAAACACCCAGCCACTCAGTTGTTCTGCGCGTTCTTCTGGATTCCCCGTGATTTCTGCCATGAGCCGACCTCATCAGTCCCCAGTGACATCTTAACTCACTGCCTTCTTTGTCCCTTCAAACTTACCCTGCTCTTCTCCTCTGCTTCCCTCCCTGCCCGGTGCTTTCTGTGTTCCATCAAATTTATTATTCAGTGGCAGCTTTCCATAGCTGCAGCAGTTATTTAAGTGGTACCCAAGTTATACATAGCAAGGTTATACCCCCTCAAGTGACAGTGTCACAATAGACTTGATCTATTGTGTGTTGATGAGGGCCTTGACTCTTGAACAGAGTGCTCTGTTTGTCAGTCCTGAACTTCTCTGCTTGTGTAGGAAATTCTGCTCTTATCTTTGGAAGGGACTAGTGGGTTGTGTCCCAGTTCCTCTCCAGGGAGACAAAGACTGGATGTGGATCATAAATTTAAGGAGGTTAAGGCTAGATGAAGGAAGAGGCGGTAAGCAGGGAACTGGCGTAAAGAGGAAAACATCAGAAACAGAAGTGGAGCTGGGAGAGGCATGTGTTGTCTTACTCAGGTGATTTAAATGTGTTTGCCCTCTTTGCTAGAATTTTAAGTTCCTTTCCATATCAGATTCCTCCTGACTTTTCATTGTTCTGCTTGTTTTTCTGTTGTGGACCTGAGGCATGGAGCTGTAGAGTACTTGTGAGCTTGACAGTAAAACAACAGTAGCTATATCCATAACGTGTGCTGCTGTTGCTTTGTCCATTTTTAATTCATGTTTTCAAGATTTTACCTAAAACATTCATGGGTAGAAATTATTACTCATTCTTCAGATTTTTTTTTCAATTTTTAAATAACGATCTCTCATAACATACTTAACCATGAAGTATAACCTTTCCTAGTCATACAGGAAAGGGAATCTTTTGAGGCTATTGTGATATAAAAACAAGTCCTCGGGAAGAAAATGGTAACTTCTCGTTCTCATTTTCAAAACAAGGATATAAAAAACGTCTATACTGAGTCCTGCTAGCTGAGGGCAGGACCCAGGCAATTTTACTTGAGCAGCTAAGTGAAGTGTGTATGAAGGTAAAGTGTGTTAATATGTAATTAAATAATAAATGCTGCCAGTATCAGCAGTTGAATTGTACCAGAAATGTTGCAGAAAATAATGCTATCTTCCACACTGTATATATAATTAATGGGAGTGGAACTAAAATGGGAAAACTGACCAGTTCATTTGGAGTTGAGAATTTGGATATTAAAAAGGAGATGAGTCCAACTGTTCAGCAGCTTGAAACAAAAAGGCATATGAGTCTGCCAGAACTGTATGGTAAGAAACAGGATGAATGGTGGGTGGGCGGGCAGCTAAATGTATTAAAATTAAATCAAATTTCTTTGGAGGAATGCATATATAATACCTCTCTCTGTGTCTATCTTGTCCTGTTCAGATGTATATTTAGCAGCTAAAGACAAATTTGCTACTAGTTGCTTATTGTAGGCTGTATCATTCTATGAAATCTCCCATATCTCATTCTCCATCAGGGTTTGAACTTTCTCCTGTTGGGATCAGGGGGAGTTCTGCCATTGACTTTTCTGAATATAAGAACATTACCTCACTGGCCAGAATTTTCTTGTGAAATATTCCCCTGACAACAGGTGGTTGCCCACTGGTATGGGGATATGGAAAACTGCATTTTCCCCTTACTTTTGCTCTTCCTCCCATTTGGAAAGCTTTAGCTTGCCTTTTGCTTATGTTAGCAGTTGCTTTGATAAATACCAGCTCAGATTATGGACTGGATGGCAGGAAGTTTAGATTAGATCAGCCACTTGAAAATGTGCAGCCACATTCCTCATGAGCTGTGAATATGGAGGTTCTGTCTTAGCAGATAAAACACAACAGCAACATACCTAAAATAGATTAGAGTGATGTCTATATGATCCTAGTCTGTGTACGGACCTCACAATTTAGGAGGTGGAATGTTTAATGCTTTTCAAGCTTATTCTTGCAGGTTTTTTTCCCCTTTCTCCTGCTTCCTTTCATGCAAAAGGATGTTGCCTCCTGACAAATTCAAGTCTGTTGGTAATGTGTCCAAAGGCTATGTCAGTTATCAGTGTCTGACTTAAAACATTGAAGATGTATGAGCATCTTTGTCAAATAGTGTTTGTTACACTTTTTGAGGTTTCTGGCCTGAAGGCTGCTTACATGTAATCCATAAGCGATCAACTGAAAAAGATGTTGGCTTTCTAAAATCATGGTTTGAGGATCCTAGCCAGAATAGAAGGACATTCTCTTTGTATGTCGTTGTGGTGTTGTCCATTGGTAGGTCTGATCGGTCTAATCATATATTGTACAAAGAGGATTGTTTTCTCCTTCAGACTGGAAAAAAAATAGCCTCAACTCTGCTGAACTCTTAGTTTTGAAGCCCTGACAAAACTGGGAGAGAGCCTGCAGCCACTGTTTCTGGTACAGGCTGATTATCTAGTTCTAAGGGGGACACGTTTAAAAGTTTCAAGTGTGTCATGTGTATGCAACTGTTTCAGCCTGCCTATCATGGTCTTCCGGCTTTTTTCATTACCTGCCTGATGAGGGCACTCTAGTGTGCGTGAAGCTCCTTAAGAAGGTGTTAAAATAAATTGGCTAATCTGACCATTGATCTGGCTGGAAAACTTCAGATGCGGATGGTTGCCATAACATGCTGATGTCTTCATATTTTGGCTGCTGTCAGCGTGAAAGAAAGCACAGAAGTTTATCACTCACTATGCTGTGATCCTTGTAGCTTCTCCAGAATATTACTCATAAGTGTACAATTGCAGGCTTTGTCTTTGGAAAGACAGAAACTGTTTTTATTGGGCTTAGCTAATGAGCTGTGGTGCGGAATGGTAGGGATGCGTGTGTGGAAGAGAGAGAAAATGGAGTTTGTTATGCTAAAAAAGCATTTCTGGCCTGAAGCCTGCTTACATGTAATCCATAAGCAATCAACTGAAAATAAGGTCTCTGTTTTAGTGGTTCATCCTGTTTTGATAATGGACCAATAAATTTTACTGCTTCAGAAAGTATCTGGGGCAACCTTAATAGAGGTTTTGTGAATGGATTGGTACTTCTGGAACTGCAGCCTACAGAAGACCTTGAAAGACAATTTCTTTTAAAACGTGAATGAATCTATTGTCAGTGCTCCAGTTGTTGTAAATTAAGAAACTGAATATGGTATAGACCTGATAATGGCCTTCTGGAAGCTGTTTCCATGTATTGGACTGGAAAATATCTTATCTGAAGCAGTGAGAGTTGCAGTTTCAGAAGCTCCTCTCTTTGGCATTCATGAGAGTTTTTTGACGTTGCACTGGAAAAGGAATATCATTCAGACATAAGCCTGCAGTTTGCTCTTGTGTGTATGTGTGGTTTTTTTTTTTTGCTGTCATCCTTATGTATAGATAAGCATCACCTCTTAACCTAATTTAAGAGAGGGAGAGACTCAACTTCATTTCTGCAGATGTCTCATCTTCTGTAACACAGCTATTTGTAGCATATTATGTTCTGGACAGCCTAAGAAGGACCTTCCAGAAATGTGTGATTTGGCGTTTTTCTTGTCAAGACTTTGTATTTCAGCAGACCATCTCAGTGGTACCTGAGACAAGATAAGTTCCTGCTACTTCCTAACTTTCTGTTCTTAGAGATATTACTATTCTCTACTACCTCTAGATAGCA